TGAACATTAATTACAGACTTTGTAAACAACAGATCTTACATGTATATGTGCTTGTTGTTTCTCTGCATGATCTAAAGCATACATTTGTTTCATGGAAAAAAAAATTCTAGCACTGCTGAACAAAACTGAAACTCAAGACAACTGTTAATTTTCAATAAAATCAAAGAAAATAGGACAATATTTGAATAATTGTTTCTTTTTGTGTGTGTAATGAATAACTTTTCCTTGACATTAAATCTGTGCTAAAATTTTATTCTTTGTCAAAACTGACTTTGGCTTCCACATCTACCCAGCCTAAAATAGGTAATAGGTAATGTCAGAAGTAAAGGTGAGCAGCCTGGTGGTGACAACATTAGCAATCAAGTACTAATTGGTCTAGCCCTATATGCCTTTTACTATATACCTGATTAGTTAAAGGCAGGAAAACAGTACAGTTCTGAAGGTTGTGGGTTTGTTTCAAAACTGCCATTTGGTTCATAAGTACAATTTTTATGGAGACCCCTGGGCATCACTGCCAGAGCTGTGATGTTCATGGCAGGTGGGCAGCCATTCTGTGGAGACAGACCGAGCCGTATGGGATACAACCTAGAACAATGAAATCGGCCCTCTTGATTTTACCTTTCACTTGTACCCTTTTTCCCTCTCCTTAACAAAGAGCACAATATATTTTATTTCAATGCAGTCCAATCAGTGTCTTGAGGCATTTAGCATTTCCTTTGTTTCTATCCATTGTATTATACTTTTATATTTTGTTCTGCAATAGGAGTTTACACAGAAAGAGAAAATTTGTTGCAGTCAAAATCAATTAAAACTACAATCTTTCTTCTTTACTTCCTCTTTTATTACTTCGGGTGTCGAGGGAGATAAAAGGTACAGCTTCATGCTCTCGCCACAGACACATTGTGGTACTGTAGTTTCTCTGATGTTATCCATTCATTATGTTCTTGGTCTACCTCTTGCTTTACGTCCCTGTCCTCTTTTGGTATACGCCTTGTATGGTATAGCATCAGAAGGCATTCTCTCCAAGAGGGCAAACCATTTGATTTGCTGTCTTTGTATGCAATTTAGAATTGGTTCTGTACCAACTTTATCTTGTATGACCTCATTTAATCTCTTCTGGTCACTCCTACAGCCTTTCTCAGACATATCATTTCCATGTTTACTAATTTTCTTTTATGTTTCGTTGTGAGTGACCATGTCTTGCACTGATAGCATAAGGTGGGATTGAATATGCTTTGTATGTGATGTCTCTTTGTGCTGATTGGGATTACCTTTTGCTGTAAGAGGGGAGCAAGCTGTCCCAATACTTGACCAGCTTTACAGCATTGGATGTCAATTTCTTCATCGAATTTACCATCTTCAGTGAATGTTGTTTCAAGATATTTAAACTCAGATGCCTGTTTAATATATGCTTGCTTCTTTCTTCCTACTGACATTACTTCTGTCTTTTCGATGTTGATTCTCATATTATTTGATTTACATTCCTCATTCATGGATGTGAGATGCTGTTGCACATTCATGGCTGTATCTGCAATCAAGACCTGGTCATCAGCAAAGAGTAATTTGTTAAAGTTACTATTATTTTTGTTCCTGGCATCCTTGCTTATACTGTCAATGTAGGTGATAAACAGAAGTGGTGATAAGACACATGCCTGTCTTACTCCAGATGTTACTTTGAATGGTTTAGATGTTACTTGGTTCATTCTAAATACGCTTCTACAATCGCTATAAAAGCTTTTACAAACTTCAATGAGGTGTTCACTTACTCCATATCGAGCCATTAGTCAAAAGCTTTCTCCTGTTCTACAAATAAGTTCTGATCATATTCAATTTTCTTGTCTAATAACTGTTTAAGTGTGAAGACTGCATTCGTGCAGCTTCAGTTTTTTTCTGAAACCCATCTGTTCTTCGGTCAACTGTGGATCTATCACTGGTCACAGCCTCATTTCTATATCTTAGCATACATTTTCCCAACATGACTAGGATCAAACTTAAAATATTTAAATTTAATGACAAATCAGTACTGCAGTGTGGATCTGAAACATGGAGAATGACTACAACAATTACTAATAAACTAGAATTTGCTAGCTGGTGTCTGCAAAGAATAGGAACATTAAAATGATATGCCAGAATCACTGTTGCAGAGATTAGGAGAAAAATTAACAAATTCCAAAAACAAAAAATTAAGAGATAAGGAAAAGACTGGATAAAAAAACTAGAAGAAACAGCATCAGAAATGAAAGTATCAGGAAAGAAGTTGAGACGGAACCAGTATTGAACTACATCAAGAGACAACAGATCAAACGGTTTGGACAGGTATCAAGACTACTACTAGATAGTGCGCACCATAGAGAGTCCTATCACCAAGACATAATGGAAGCAGAACTAGAGCTGAACTACACAAGCGATGGATAGACAGAATATTTAAGGCCATAAATACCAGCAACTATGTAGTACATAACAAGACTTGTGCTCAATTCCTTTTCAAAACCTGAAGCTGTAAGGCAGAAAAGGACTAAAGGAGGAGAAGGCGAAGAAAGTTATTTCATTGGAACCAACGCAGTGATGGAAACAGAGGATGACTTGAAACAGAGAAATGAATTAGTGATAAAATGACCAACCAATAACTTTATTTCCAAAGGGTTAAGAGCTGGAAAAGGAAACAGCAGAAGGCTTGGCGTGAAGTTGTCTGATGGACTATGTTCTCTCCGAGATAAAATATAGAAGAATAGAAGAAAATATTACTTTACGCTTTTTTAACTAACTGAATTATAACTGCAAATAATCAGGAAGTTTTTCTTTCTAAATCTCAAGAGAAGTTTTACCAATAACCAAACTTCCATGAGCCAGGAGATTGTAAACAGTCATTGAAAACAGTATTGCTCCTGCTATTGCTTTTCATTTCCTATTAAAGTGAACAGAATTTAAGAGTATAGCCATATCAAATTATCAACAACTCAACACACCTAACAATTAGTAATTATCAAAAGCCAGAGAGAAAAAAATCTATGTTGTTACAGCTTATGTCTCAAAACACTGATGAAAGTAAACAACGAAAAGGACCCCTTTTTATTCCACAAGGTTTATTATGTATAAGGTGCTAGGGATGGTTTAAAACAACAAAACTCTACGAGTGACAGGGCCAATATCACATCAACATCTTGGCTTTTCTGGAAATTTCTCGGTACTAATTTTAGGCCCAGGTCACGTTTTTTTTTTAAAAGTCTCAAAGAGGATTTGAATACACCACCACTTGGCCAGCAGTTAAGAGTGCTAACCACGGCTCCGCAAAACAATGATAACTGAAGGAAGAAACTGCAGGCATTTTTATAACAGTTTACAAAAACAAAAAAGTTCAGGGAATTGTCAATTTTTGATAACTGAGCATCATCTTCTCTGCATCCAAATACCTCATCAAGGTGTTAAGGGTGCTCCTTTTAATACTGAATTATATTAATAACTGAATTATAACTGCAAATAATCAGAAAGTTTCTCATTTTAAATTTCAGAAGAAATCTTACCATTTACCATTATGCGAATCTGTCTTCAGTCAAGAGACTGTTCATAAACAGCCATTGTAAACAGTATTATTACCGCTCTTGCAATCAGTTTCTGACTAGTATTTAAAAAAAAAAAATCAAGCTTTTGCAATGAAGTTGTAACTACAAAAAAGTTTAAAAAAATAGAACCCTCTCAAACAACTTCTCTCCTTTAACAGTAATTCTGATCTTTCTCTAAGGCTGTTCTTGATGCCTCCCTTCCACCTTTTGCGTGCTCATCCCCGTGTTCTGTGTTTATTGTATTTTTTCAGCGTGCCTCTATGTGGCAGTTGGTACCAAGACTTTCTTGACAGATGACCAAACCATTCCATAGCATCATGAGTGTACCTGTTGCGATGCTGGTGTAAAAAGGATCCTTTGCTTACTATTTTAACTCTTTCGCCCAGAGAACATTAAAAAGAAAATTGACCATAAATTCGAGCGAATTCCTGAATAAATACCTAACATTTTTTTTACATCCCCCCCCCCCAAAAAAAAAAATGTATTTACTGACACTCTAACATTTTTTAAATATATAAAATAAATAAAGGGAGTAATCAAAAAAACTAACAGAGTTAAGCAATAATTGGAAAACATTAAATTCAGCCTTTAAAAAAAAACCACATGTATCGGGTGACTCAGGTCATGAACCCATGACCTCTATTACTGTGGCTTATGGGAAAATTTGACCTAAAACTGGTTTTAAAAAAGTTTGGTTCATGAGGAAACCCCTTAAATGTTATTTTTGATAAATATATTCTTATACTGACCTCCTAAATGCTGTGCAGGTGTGAAAATAAATGGCATTAATTGGGTGTTCTGTAAATGTCACTGCAGAAACACTGATAACACAACACTCTCACAAGAATTTGAACCTACAAGAAGTGCAGAGTTTGCAGGTAAAAGTACAAAATAACTAACTTGTGATGCTATGTTACCAGACTTAATTGGTTATGACTACTTACTATACATATAAAGTATACTTCTGCAATAAAGCTGTAACTGTAGATACAATAGTAACAATTTTAAGCCTTTGGTACAGCTTCTCCCTCTTAAATAGAGTAATTTGATTCACTTTATTTTTGCCACCTATATACCATAAGTTTCAGTTTTGTAATAAATCAGGTCTGCCCAAGCATAAATCACGTTTTTAGTACTAGCCAGAATTAATCAATGCAACATAAATACAAATAACTCAGATGTGGAAGATAACTAAGAATGTCAGCACAATAGTGTATGTATCTCTTTATTTTGGAACACTTGTCTACAATGATACTGCTTGTCTCTAATCATCTGAAAACCCCAGCACAATAAAATCATCAAGTATCTTTGGAGGGCATGGAATAGACAAGAACGTCACAAGGCAATAACATCACAGATAAATGCTCAACTGTTTACAATAATAACATCTCAGACAGCAACAGGATGGTGACCTCAAAATGTAGAGCTTAATGGAGAAAGCTACAACAATTCAGTTATAGTCAACTGTGCAAATCCTATCAACGCCTTGTCATCTGGGGCTTCGTTGGGGCCACAACCTGAATTCTGAATACATAGAAATAGAAAGTAAGATTAAACAACTGGCAAACTAAGTAATCAGTAAAAAGTGGTTATGTGAAGATTTAGTAAACTGCAGACTACATAACACATAAACAGTACAGAAAAGTAAGAGACCTTTTTCTACGCCTTCAGGTATATTGGGCATATAGGGCTAAACCTATATTTCACAGAACAATCAGCATTCGGTGGGTGATGATGGTCATATCCCATCATGTATCTTTACTTCCCAGGACATTACCTGGTACCCATTTAAGGTTGGGTCATTTTTGAGTCAAGGTGATTTAAAGAAAACAAATGTAAGGACCTGAACCCACGACCTTCGGATCCGCAGGTGACCATCTAGCTGCTACACCATAAATAGATGCATGCTTAATGAATTTCTTTCACCCCCTGCGGGTTGGTGAGGAACAATGAATAGATTACCAGGACCTATATTACAATAGGGACAACATATTTTACTGCATTTAAATAGCTGTTTATAGAATCTGGGATTGAACTAGAAGGTGGGGGAGGGGGTGGGGTTGCATGACAGCACCCACCCCTCTAATCTTGGACCTGCCTACATCTTGTACACCTCTATGTTAAGGAGACGATTACAAATCTTGGACTTTCATCCATAGGTTAAAAAGTCCTTCTTTTGTTCTTATGTGTCCAGATGTCGGGTCAACTACTCAATGTTGTCCTAATTCTCTTGGGAATGACATATATTTAAATCCAGCCATATAGGTGGGTGATTTACTAATAGTAAAGCCAAATTCCTTGACCTAACTACCGCTTTGGACGCGGATGAATCCCCTCCCGCCTCTAGCGGGGACTCGATTCTTGGCTTGTCTTCCAGAGCATACAGACGGGTTCTGCCCTTGTCTTGAAAATCTCTCAATACCTACTTTGAAAATTTCGGAAATTCAATTGAGCAAAGGATGGGTGTTGACCTCTCTGGAGGCCTAGCCTGAATCAGCACATATATTATAACAGCATCATCCAGTTACAATGCATGTTAGTGCCATCAACACCTACTTTGATGCAGCACATCAGTTCATACATACCTGACATCATAACAGTAACATCAAATGAGAAAGCAAACAGATACCTGGGTATCATTTTTGATAGAAGCCTGTCCCTTCGGGATCATGTGGATGCAGCTACAGTGAAATGCCAAAAAGGACTCAATGCTCTCAAGATTATGGCAGCAATGGACATGGAACAAAGAATGTTGTTCACAATGTTCCAGCAAGTGATTCTGTCGGTGATAGATTATGGACTAGGCATACCCCGGTAGTATGTATGCGATATATACTTTCACTGCCTACTATTGCAGATAGGCTCAAAGTTCTGCAAGCAAAGTCATATCTCAGAGTAGCCGCAGACAAAGGCACATCCGGCATGTAGCCCTGGATAGAGCTAAGGGTCACAGACTGAAAAGAGGAAAGTCTTGGATGGCGCAAGCTGAAGACACAATTCGACAAGTGTGCAGGCTTAATAAATTTAGGCGAGGAGAGGAGGGGGTCAAAGTGTCCGATCATGTTTCAGACTTGTGTAGGGTTCTAATCACTTTGGGACGTGAGTGCAGGGACTGGCCAGCTGGTGCTGCAGAATCAGAAGTTTAACAAATGATTCATAACAATTCCCGCCCAAGTGATGTGATTGTATATACAGATGACTCTGTGGTGAGGGGCAGATGAAGTGCATGGGGGTTCATAGCGAAGGCGAATGGACGTCGCTTGGCGCAACAAAGCCTGGCATATGCTATCACAACGTCAAGTTTGAGAATGGAGGTGGAGGCAGTCACTGCTGCCTTCCGTTGGCTTGAGAATCAGCTGTACACACATGTTGTCATTTTAACTGACTCACAGAGCATGCTGAGAAAGGTGGAGACAGGCATGCTCCACGCAGAATGGCAAGCAACACTTCAGAGGTCCCGGGTAGTTAGCATCCTTTGGATATTTTCTCCAGCTCAAGCTGGTGTGTTGGGAAATGAGCAGGCGGATAGACTGGCAGGTTCTGCACCACTTGGTGGTGAACTGATATATGACAAGCTGGATGTTGTGAGTGCCCTTTGGGAGCGAGTGAACAGTGCCGAGGAACAGACAGATCATTATGTTCTGAGGAGAATGGCACTGCGAGGAGTTAAAGGGGATCTGGTCGATGCTCGACATTCGGGGGAGGGGCGTGATGGATATACAATCAGACTGTTACTGGGGATTTGGTCGATGCTCGACATTCGGGGGAGGGCGTGATGGATATACAATCAGACTGTTACTGGTACCATCGAAATTTTAACTCTTCGCTTGCTGCTGAAGATGGGGATGGAATGCTTATGGGAGTGTCCCGAGTGCTGTGATGTCGATTCTTAATTCAACATTCAACCTGACATCAGTCTTTGAAGTGAAGCAACAGGAGGTGACACATGGTGTCACACTTGATCTATAGCAACTGATACCAAACAACTCTCATCATGTGCCGATCTATAAAGTCCATGATCTAGTCTTCTGCCAACCCAACAAAAGGAATGCAAGTGAACATACATATTTTGAACACTAATATATTTTAAGGGTACCTTTCCCAGTATTCACAAACATTGACAATAAGTACTTTAGCACCATTTAATTGTTATCATATAGTGTCTGAGAACATTCCATAACAGAACTGAAGTATTCCTTAGCGCTGCATCTATTCAAGTCTGGCCTACAAAGTGTGGAGAGGAACAAATCCATCTCTGATAAGTATTCCAGGTTCAAGAGGACTTGCAGCCACCCAGGACACTGCCACTGTTACTTTTATCACATCAGCATTGTTGCTGAGATGTGTTGTGAGGTAGTCTGGGCAATCTTAGAGTCTTTACGGGATAGTTCAGTTCTTGATTAAATGCTATCTTAATTTGTCCTCTTCTTTAGTTTCCTTTTCAGAGTCTATACCTGTGTTGCACTTATTACGTTATGTATTATTTTTCTGAATTCAGATTTGTCAGTATCCAATCTTTTCAGTTGTTATAGTTATAGGTTGTTTTGAGAGTGTAGTGCTGTTTGGTCAGATTCATTACTGTATTAAATTTTGACTATGATAGGTTTGCTATCTAGCCTGGGAGCTTTTAAGTGATGAGGAGGTCAGGCCAAGTTGTGACCAGGTATATTTATTATCGCAGTGGGAATCATAATTTGAGTCGCCTCATCCCTGAAGTGATGCTGAATGGTCACTGGAGCTACGGAGTACCTCCTAGACCAATATAAGCCATTTCTAACATTAAGTCCCTTCTAAGTGTCTTTGATTATTAGTGCTATGGATTAGAAAGGATTATCATCTAGACAGATCGATAGATGCTATGATCTTCTCCTCAAAAGCTCTACAAGATTTTCAAAGTAGGAATTGAGAGATTTTCAAGACAAGGGCAGAACCCGTCTGTATGCTCTGGAAGACAAGCCAAGAATCGAGTCCCATCTAGAGGTCGGAGGGGATTTATCCGCGTCCAAAGCGGTAGTTAGGTCAAGGAATTTGGCTTCACTAAACCTCTGATGATGCCTGTTCTGTGTTGGTTAATTAATGTCCCCTTAGTGAACTGTTCATTTCTTGCAACTCCAGGCTGCACCTCCATGTCCATCAGTCTAGACATGGATACCGAGTCTTGTCTTTTGGCATGCTCCTCGGTACGGTAAGTGTAGCACAGGGCATCGCATGTGAAAGCTATTTAGCCGTCTCTCCTAGTGCAAATAAGTTGACCAAGTTTCACTGCCATAAAGCAGAGTGCTGAGAGCACAAGCCTGATAGATAAGGGTTTTTGATTGAATTGTGAGCTTTGTGTTCTCTCAAACTCTCTTTGTCAATCTGCTCATTGTTGTTGCTGCCTTGCCTATCCTGATGTTGATTTCTTGGTCCAGAGATAGTTCGTTATTCACTGTGGAACTCAGATAGGTAAAATGATCTACTATCTCCAGCTCTTCACCGTCAATGTAGACTGCAGATCTATCACTAACACCTTGCGCCATAACCTTTGTCTTCTTTTTGCTGACCGTTAGTCCAAAACTATTTCCAGCTCTTCACCGTCAATGTAGACTGTAGATCTATCATTAACACCTTGTGCCATAACCTTTGTCTTCTTTTTGCTGACTGTTAGTCCAAAACTATCTCCAGCTCTTCACCGTCAATGTAGACTGTAGATCTATCATTAACACCTCGTGCCATAACCTTTGTCTTCTTTTTGCTGACTGTTAGTCCAAAACTATCTCCAGCTCTTCACCGTCAATGTAGACTGTAGATCTATCATTAACACCTTGTGCCATAACCTTTGTCTTCTTTTTGCTGACTGTTAGTCCAAATTCACAGCCTATAGCAAAGGCAGATAGTAAACAATGCAGCTCCTCCTCTGAGTGGGTGGTTTTTGCGGCATCATCTGCAAACAGCAGCTCTCTGATAAGTGCCTTTCTTATTCTGGTTCTGGCCTTCAGCCTGCAAGCATTGTAAAGGCCACCATCAGATTAAGAAGGAATGAATATACTATCCTCCTGATCTCAAAAGGCATGTGTCAAAAGAAGTGAAATTTTTTTTTCAAACAGGGTAGGAGCGAGTACACACCCCTGCTTCACTTCATTTTTTATTACAAACTCCTCCAATGTTACACCCTCAAAGTTGGTTGTACCTTCTTTCATACCTGTGTGGAACGACTCAATAATGCTCAGTAGGGTAGATGGACACCCAGTCTTCTGTGTGTTGAACAGACCTTTTCAACTAAACAAACCAAATATTGAGCAGATCGTAAATGCTGACTAATTAGGGGTGTTTCCTTCATAATTGGGTGCGTCTGCTTCAGAGGTGAGGAACCAAAAGTCTGCTTTCAACTAAGACAGACCTGTAAAACGGATATGTACACAAAGCTCAGGTTCTGGAACAAGACCATATGTGGATGAACAACCAGAACTTTCCGCCAGAATTTATAGCCAGTGAACAACAAAAAAACACACACAAAAAACGTAGTATGTTCTCATGTTATCGCCTGTTTACTTCAGTCAAGGAAAGTTAGGAACTAATTTCATTTACTGAACTCTTTAAAGAAGAGAGTAAACAAAATTACTTCTCTGAGTTAATTGAGAACTTCAATTAGTAAACACTCACCAAAGCAAATGTAATATTTGTCATATCTGCTTTGTCAATCATCTTCTGCAAATTGGCAGCAACTGCGATAACAAAATAACAACATTATGACTGCAATTTCAAAATATCAATAGTAATTAATAGTAAGCACATAAATAACAGTATTCAATAATAGATATGGCTAAAATAAAAATAAAATACACCAAAAAAAAAGACATTAAAAGAGTGATCAAATTAATTAACATAAATACTGCCAAGTGACATCACAGATAGTCACAAAAAATATACTTGGGTTGTTTCTGCAACGTCCTGTAAAGGAGATGTGAATAACTTTATATGGTTTATACTGGAAGGCACACAAATGGAAATGGCTAGGTTGTCGTAAGAGGTCAGGGTGTATTGCCTACTGCTCACTAAACCAGAACAATGAGACTGCTTTAATACATGCTTGTGTGTTAATGGGGGGGGGGGGGGGGGGGGGGGGGAGAAGAGACAGAGAGAGAGAGGGGGGGGGGGAGGGGAGAAAGAAAGAAAGAAAGAGAGAGAGGGATGGAGGGAGAGAGAAAGAGGGAGGGGGAGAGAAAGAGGGAGGGGGGAGAGAGAGAGAGAAGGAAAGAAGGAGGGAGGGAGGGGAGAGAAAGAGAGAGGGAGGGGAGATAGAGGAGGGGAGAGAGAAAGAGAGGGAGGGAGGGAAGGGGAGATAAAAGAGGGAGGGAGGGGAGAGAAAAAGAGAGGGAGGGGAGAGAGAGAGAAAGAGAGAGGGAGGGAGGAGGAGAGAAAGAGAGAGGGAGGAGAGAGAGAGAGAGAGAGGGGGAGGGAGGGGGAGAGAAAGAGAGAGGGGGAGAGAGAGAGGAGGGGGAGAGAGAGAGGAGGGAGGGGGAGAGAAAGAGAGAGGGAGGGGAGAGAGAGAGGAGGGGGGGGGGGAGAGAGAGGGAGGGAGGGAGAGAGAAAGAGCTCCAGGTATATAGTCAACTGATTTCCAAATCTTATGCTGCTTTGGTTATTATGGACGTTCTATATCCTTGTTGTTTGCTATTATACAGAAATGTCTAGTTGCTTGTCTAGTTGTCCTGTTCCAGATTTTGAGTTTAGCTTTCACATCTATTTTACAGATCTGGCTTTGTAAGCAGACAGCTTGTTCCTTGCCTCTCAGGCAGCTGCAATCCAACTTCAAAATAAACACCCCAATTTAGTTACCTGTAGGGGTGCCACAAACCTATTCTTTTACTCACCCAAACTGGGGCCCAGAACCCATACAGGAAGTTGTGCAGACATAAAATGAATCATTCCTGCTGGCCTTGAGATTATGATATGCACTGCACTCTAATTAACAGTGCAGACTGTAAATACATTTTTTTTCAGGTAGCAGCAAAAATGAAGAATGGGAAAAGGAAGAGGAGTGTACTGTGTCACAGAGGTCAGATGGGGAGTGTTACAGAGGTAAAATGTGGCCCGGTTAAAGTCGTGAGACGTAATTCTTATTCTTCTTCTTCGGCATTCCGAGCCCTAGAGGTTCATTGCTGTAGATATCACCGGCCTCCATTCATCTCTCTGGTTGGCCTTCCCTTTCCAGTACATACTAATATACTTCATACTCTCATCAAGTGTTAATTACCAATATTGCTCTAATCTATAAATAGGAAATCATGAATTATACAAATTATCTGTACACATTAACCCATTATCAGTTCAATAAATTTAGTAGCAATTCTGAAAATTGTATTAATACCTACAGATGTTAGGGAGCTGCCACAGTGCAGTGGCTAGATGGGGATCAGAAGGTCATTGGTTCAGGTTCTGATGGAGCCGGACTTTTTACAAAAAATATCTTGGCTCATCAATCCAGCCTTAAATGAGTACCAGGTAAAGCAGGAAGGAAAGGCAGCTAGCGTGATGGGCACATCACCTAACGAATGCCGATTGGCCTATAAAATAAAGATCTAGCCCTATATGCCTGAAGATGTGGGAAAAGGGTCCTTGACTTTACTACAGCTGTTAACAAATCCATCTTATAACTTGTAATACATGAGTGTAACAGTACTAATTTAACATAAGAGACACTGCAAAAGGACAACTGAAAATCATACCAACAATCATATCTCTGCCGTCAACTAATCCAGCTTCCACAAGCTCTCTGGACACACTGTCTGAAGTGTCTGCAAGTGACAGATTACACACAAGGTTACATCACTGCCAATTGTGACAGATTACACATGAGGTCACGTCACTGCCAACTATGACAGATTACAATGAGGTCACACATCACTACTAACTATGACATATTACACATGAGGTCATGTGATTGCTAACTATGACAGATTTGAGGTCACATCACTGCTGACTATGACAGATTACATGAGGTCAAATCACTGCCAACTATGATAGACTACATAAAATAACATACTATAAAAGGTCATATCACTGAGTTTCAAATATTGCCAAGAATTTTTGTTAAAAACGTTAACAGCAGTCTGAAACAATAATGCCCAATCAAACTGCATCTTTAATGTTGCATGTTCACTGCCGCACAGAATTCTGAACATTTATAAAAAAAATTCCAGCTCCAAAATATGGTTTTATATAAAAATAGATTATCACAGCATGAGGGGAAAAACTGGGATAAGGAAAACATTAATAAATGAGAATAATCTTTTGTCAACATCTGCTGTATTCCGCTAGGCATCACAGTTGGATAGATGATCGGTAGCTGAGCCAGGGTGTGCTCAGTTATTTGTTTTACTGTGATGGTGTGAAGTCAGAGGCTGTCAATGACTTCTTCAACCCATATTTTTTCATGGTCTCCCCTTATGTGTTGATCTTTCCATTTTCATGTTATTTGCTCTTGCTGCCATCATCACTGGGTTCGTTCGTTATTAGGCGGCAGAACTATTTCAGTCTTTGTTTCTCAATGAATTTAAAAATAGGCATTGCTCAAATAGTTCTTCTAATCTCTTTATTTCTCCAACAATCTAAAATGAGATTCAGGTGAAATCAAGATAATTTGGTCGAATAAAGAGACATGTTTCTTAGTTAAAGGAATCCCCAGAAAACAATAATAGAAGACCCACTTTTAAGTCAGAGTGCATCTGCCTAAGAGACAAGGAACCAACAGTCTGCATACAAATGAGTCAGATCTGTCAAATGGATGCACATGCTATACTCAGGTTTTGCAACAGGACTGCAGTGCAGAGCTGGACGAACAACCAGAACTTTCTGACAGGGTTTACAGCCAGTAAATGCAAAGAAGAAGAAGAAGAAGAAGTTAAAGGAATTGCTACACAGAACTTAGATGTGGAGATGACCATTTATATTTACAATGTGGATACAACCTCTAAAAAATATTACAAACTATTTCTAAAAATCATTTTTTCTGCCACATAAACTCTTGGATTTTATATTTACTAATGACTCATGATTACCTTGTCCAACTTTAAAATCAAACCGGATGTCATTTAGCTCACGCTTTTCATTCCTGAAATTTAAAACCAAACAAAAATAATAATTACACACTAAAACAAAACACAACTGTCAGATGATCATAGCTAAACAAGAAGATTAAAAGAAGGTTTGTAAGAAAATTCATAGTATTAAATACGTAATGTTATGCCCCATGTGCTTACAAAGCTAAGGAACTTCCAGGAAAAATAAAAATATAAACACAATAGCAACCACAAAAACAAACAATTACAGTGGAACCCTGCTTAACGAACATAATTTGTTCCAGAATCATACTCGCTAAGCGAAACACTCGTCATGCGAAACATTTTTTCTCATATAAATTAATGTAAAATAAAAAAATGCATCCCATGCCGAAAAAAATACTCACAAAATGCTATGTATAACATTTATTCAAAGAAAATTATATACATATAATTAAGGAGAGTGAATCATCTTCATCTTTTCTTCAAAAGCGAAATGAACCCATCTGGAATGCGAATTCGATTTGCAAAAAAAAAAAAAAAAAGTGTCGAAAAAATTATGATACATAGCTACATTTTTTTTAAACTGTAGAGATTTTCAGAGACATTTGTTTTTGACGATGCTTCAAAATGTGGCTAAAATGCGACACAGCATTATCATTTAATAAATTTGCAACATGCATAGCCACTTCCTTATTAGGGTGATGCTTCTCAATGTAAGATGCAACAGTTTCCCATGCTTTCAGCATTTCTCTTATTTCGCCAGAAGATGGTTGCTTTTCTGTTACCTCCTCCTCTGACAACCTTTCCTCCAAAGCGTTTTGCTGTGAAACACAATGCGACTCTATAAGCTCTTCGGTTGTCAGCTCTTGGCTTTGCTCTTCCACAAGCTCTTCGATTTCACTGTTATCCACCTACAATCCCATGATAGTGGCCAAAGACACAATCTCATTGACTACAGGTTCCACAGGTACTTTCTCGAACACCCCAAAGTCACAAATCGACAAAGCTCTCCGACCAAAGCTTCTTCCAAGCAGAAGTTAGGGTCCTCTTGGTAACCCCTTCCCCCGCCTTGTTGCTCATCTTGAGGCCGGCAACGATGTGGAAGTGATTTTTCCAAAACTCTTTGAGAGTGAGGTTGGTCCCTTCAGTCACCTGAAAACAATGCTTGAAGAGTGCTTAAGTGTAGAGCTCCTTAATGTTAGAAATAACTTGCTGGTCCATGGGCTGGAGTAATGGAGTGGTGTTTAAAATTTGTGTTACAAATTTATTTATCTAAATATTTTCTTCAAAATACATACAGATGTATAAAGGGAGTAATCAATAAACATGAACAGGGCGAAGCCTTAAATGGAATATATAAATCAAGGCCTTAAAAACACACTATGTATCAGGCAACTTAAACCCTCCCCCCCCCCTTCCCCCCCACCAAATGTTATTTTTAATTAATGAATCATATCCAGAATTAAACATTTCTATGGAGGTGAAAACAGCTTTGCATAGATACAAAAACAGCCAAAAGCAATAACTACGCGTCTCGTAAACAAGTCATTAGAGACAGGTCAGAAAAGTGACATTTACACGGAACTAGACCCCAACCAGGAGCACTGTTGGTTTTGTGGCTTTTCGGGGCAAGCATCTAACAATTCTCAAAAAACCCACAAATTATGCATTCTTTGAACTTACCGCAAACGCAACACCATGTTTCTGGGTTTATCACTACCATCATCGGCTTTAGCATCAGCTGAAGATTCACCAACTGTTTCTGAACGTGCTACACGTGTATGCTCCACAGTTATGGCTGGTTCTTCTTCAACACTGTTTTCTTCTTTCTCCTCATCATCATGAGTATCACCATCTTCTTCATTAGCAGAGTGAGAGACAAGCTGGTCAACTGACTGAAAGGAAATAAATAAGTAAACTTAGATAAGATTAAAAACTGTTACTAAACAGATACAAACGATTAAAAAGTTCTTTAAAAAATTTTTAAAAAATACTCGCAATAGACCAAAACTGCTACTATACTATAGTAGTTCAAGTTACATGCACAAAGCCAACTACAATAACAAAACAGTTAACATAATTAAAAAGCCTGTATTTTACATTATGTAGTTTGCCACTGTTTCCATAACTGAGAGCTCTGGGTATCAGTGTCGAAACCAATGCAAGACGTTCTGTTCCCAAATCGCCCGCAACTGGGAAAGCCACTAAGTGCATTAAGTGATTCCTACTACACTATGTTAACAGGTAATCTCTGTTCCAGCTTCACTGCAAACAGGTCCCCCCCCCCCCCCCCAGTTGCTCCATTCCTGTGCCAACGAAAACCGCAAAGAATGACCATCACTACCCTTAGTAAAAGACTTTATATCGATTACACTCTCTGCAAAGCCACTAGCATACACTCGCATTATATACATAAGACAGCAGTCAGTAGTGCCAACACAAACAGTCCAGCGCTAGAAATTCAGTTCATCATCAATGGAAACAGCAGTTGCAAAAGATCAACAGTGGTATACAAAATTAGTCGCACAAGGCGCCATGAGTTCTCTAAGAACAGAGATCACAACAGAAACCATGTTGAGCAGTCAGAAAGCATTCTAAACTAAATCTGAAGCTCACAGTGTCTCACCACACACTTAATTCAGTAGCTTGGTGATGGAACTATATAATTTCAGTCTACATATGTAAGAAAATGCAACAGCTAACTATTGTCAGAAGCAAAAATTTGTCATGATTTAATATAAAAAAAATACAGCAATCATGCCTTTCCATTACACTGACTGGAAAGTGTCCTACACTAAATGATTTTCGAAAGAAAAAAAAAAACAACACTTATTAAAACAGATTTAGGGGCATCCCACTGTCACTAAAACAGTTTTAGGGACAACTAAAAACTAGCATTCTAATTAAGTTATTAAATTAGTGTGCAGCAGTTTTATTGACTGTATCTTATTGTATCTCTTCATCTGTGCAAGTTATTTGTGTCATAAGATTACAAAAAGACCGTCCAATATGGCAGAGAGACAAGCAGTTCATTAAAGTTTTGAAGAATTGTTTGCTTCCGGCTACGGTTTGCTAATGCAGTTTCCACATATGGACTGGAGTCCACACTTTTATTGCTTAGGCTCCTGAGTTAAGTGATAAGTAGAACACTATGAGCTGAATATTTCATGTCAACTGCCTTTTATCTGTGCCCGCCGTGGAATTCAGATATTCAGAAACTGGTTAATGGCCAGTTTTCATTTGCTCTAAGCCCTGTGTGCATTAACACTGTGTGTGTTTGGCCAACTTATTGTGAATGACTACTTCTGATGATGACAAATTAAAATTCTTTAGATGACTGCTATTGTTGGCACCTCGAGTGGATGCCTTATGCATTGACGGTATGTGCACGTGTCTGGATTCTGCTAGAACTAATTATTTGTTCACAAGTTTTTTAAATGGGACAGTGAGGGTCACTTTGTGTGATTTACACAAGGAGAGGAACGAATCAATTATCAAGTGACATGCTGGCAGTCAAGATGAAACCTTGATGACTACTACTACTAGGCAAGAACACATTTCAATTGTCTTACTGAAGTTATGAAGTATCAGGATGATATTGTAACTTTATTCATATGTATGGCTGAGTCCCTAATAATTTCTTTTGTGTGTGCTTCATTTTAAAGTCTTTAAAATCTGACTTATCTGCATGCAGACTATTGGTTCCTCGCATCTCTTTTTGCATTCACTGGCTGCAAGCTCTGTTGTTTGTCCATTTCTGGACTAAGTTTTGTTCCAGAACCTGAGTATTGAATGCCTATCCGTTTTACAGATCTGACTTATTTGTATGTAGATTGTTGGTTCCCTGCCTCTCTGGCAGATGCATGCCGACTTCTAAGGAAGCCCCCAATTAGTTGACTCTTACGACATGCTTGTTGGAGAGGCAGTGAGTATATTCTTGTTTTCCACATAACGGGACCCTGGAACCCACAGGGGAGTTCCTTCCATCAAATGCAGATGTACTACAACTTTGAAAGAAACAGTCTTAATTAGTCGCCTTCCTCCACATGCTTATATCAGGGGTAATGGTGCTTTACTTTGTTTCTGCCCTAAAATGGTGTCCAGGAACCCACATGGGAACAGTTTTACAGGACTTGTCAATCAATCTTGCGGTGATGTAATTTACATAATTCTGCAGTAAAGCAAGCAAAAATGCTTATACTAAATACATATTACTGTGGCATATTCATAACACATCTGTAAATATTGCAATTAGTGATTATGATAATTAAAAAAAAATCTTTTAAGGTGTCTGCATGCTTAATGCATCACAACTGTTAACAAGTTATGTATACTCAATGCTACTGTATGGTACAGACACCTGGACCACAACAACAACTAAAAATCCTTTGAACATATATAAAATAAAGTGCTTGACAAGAAAAATATCTACATTATACTTCTGCTTTATTAAGTGGTAATAAATAACATGTAATTAAACAACTATAGATGTTAACTTTGCCATAACAAAGAACACATACTTGCTCTTTCTCTGCACTTTCGTCTGGAGCATCTAAATCGTCATCTGACCACTCCCAACCACCATCTTCTGATTTGTGCAGGCGCCCACTAGACCCTGTAGCTCTTTTAACCTAGCAATAATAAAAAATTAAACTTTATTTGTAGTCTATCACAGTACATAACAGAAATAACGACTCGAATCGCGTTAGCATCAAGTGCCTTTAACAAACTGTCAAACATTTGGAAGTCAAGATCACTCAGCAACAACACGAAACTTAAGGTCTTCAATTCCTGTGTGATCCCAGTGCTAACTTATGGTTGTGAGAGTTGGAAATCATCAGTATCAATCGATAAGAAACTAGTCGCTTTCGAGAATAGATGCCTCCGAAAGCTATTGAATGTTCACTGGTCGAACTTTAGGTCCAATACATCTATAAGACAGGAAACAAAACAAAAATATGTGTCTGATTTTATTAGAATGCGTCGCTGGAATTACATCGGTCACGTACTCAGAATAGACATACAGAGACTTCCCCACCAAGCCTTCATATGGTCACCAGAGGGTAAAAGAAAACAGGGAAGACCAAAAGAAACTCTCCGTAGAACCATCACAAGGGAGAGCTCAACCATAGGTCTCAGTCGCACTCAAGACCTACATCAAGTGGCAAAGAACCGACAGACGTTGAAAGCTATGACCTCTGCCCTATGCGCCATCTTTGGCACAAGAGGAATAACTAACTAACTAACAGTACATAGTTTCAGTGTTATTTTGGACAAGTTATGAAAAGGAACAGACTCAGGAACTTGGTGACAGCTGGCCAGATTTACTGAGAAAGCGTAATGGGGAAAGCAAATAGATAAATGCCTGGATGGCCTGGCCACCTGGATGGGGGCGAGACAAAAATACTGACATAACCCGCCATTCTGATGATCATGTGAGACAGTGTAACGTGATCTTTGATGCTTATTTGCTGGACACGTGATGATGATGATAATAGCAAATCATGGTATTTTTTTAAAAATGATTAAAAAATAAAACATGCACGTTTTAAAAAAAATGAAATCTTAATGTTTCTGGGAAAACTCCTTCCTCCCTTTCCAATCAAATCAGGATTTAAAAAAAATAAACCCCATATTTTTAAAGACCAATTCCTCACCCACCCCCCCCCCCCCCCATTATTTCCCTTAACAAACATACACTAAGTAGTTTGTAGAGTTGTTTAGGACTGCTTGTATATTGCAGCAAACAGTTTCTATGGTAGAAGATAGCCAGTCTCATGTCAACCTTCCTTAGCCACAACTTGCAAAGTAGTTCAAGCATTACTATTTTTAATATTTTCCTTGTGCGGGTGCTGTTGTGTTGTTCATGTTCTTATTTTGCGCACACCTACAGATTGGAAGGTCATGGATTTAAGTTCTAACTGAGCCGGACTTTTTTTTCAAAAATAGACCCAGGCCAACCCAGCCTTAAACAGGTATGAGGTACAATCCCGGGAAGTGAAAGCTGATGATAGGATGCTGACCACATCACCCACCGAGTACCGACTGATTAACAAAATACAGGTATAGCCCCAAAAGTGTGGAAAAGGGTCCTTTACTCCACTATTCTTTGCTCACCTTTTCTAATCCAGGTTAATATAACAAAAGACTAGTAAACAAGTTTTCTAAGCATTGCTGATAAAGTATATTGTGATTAGCAATAAGCAAATTATACACTCACACATATAAGTTGTTTTGTAATGAAAAAAGGAAAACTGACCTTCTGTCCCATCACAGCAGTTCCTTCTGAGAGTAAATTCTTCTGTAGATAAGCTCTGTCCTGGGAAGAAAAAAAATTTATACATTCTTTTAATAATTTAAGCAAACACATATATATGTTAGTTGTGTATCCTTTATAGGACGTTGCAAAACCAACCCTTTCATTTTTTTTGGCTGGTGCGATTTTTCTAGGCAAATTTTACTTAGTAATTCACCAATGCCTCTGAACCGTCAGCTCTCGGTTGGTACCACGGTTGAAACCAATGCACAACAGTCTGTTGCCAGATGGCCTGTAGCTGGGTTCAAACTCAGCACCCTGGCATTATGAAGCGTGTTTGCAATGCCTAAGCCGCAAGCAAATACACATTTCTTAAAAATTGCACATAAAAATGTTATTTCTGAAATAAACAGCTGAAAAAAATTATTTCAAAGAATTTTTAACAATTAAGATATATCCCTAACTATAATTTTAAAAAAAACATGCTTTAATTAAACCATGATTCTGTACTTTTAGAAAGTCAGCTTTATAAGCCATAAGGATCACAGATTATTGCAAATATTGTTTTGGATTTCTTGAACAACATGAAGATAAACAAATATTGGACCCAGTAAAAAAAAAAAAAAAAAAGACCAATAGTGATTTTTTTTAAACGCTGCTGTAAACCAAATAATTATAATCGATGTTGTCTCCGGTAATTAACAAATACTTACTTTTGCTTTCTTAAAAAATTCATGTTTCAAAAGTTGCTTGGCAGTTGGCCTGAAATAAAATAAAGACATGCTAATGAAAAATAGATAAAAAATAAATATGAAAGATCGTAAAAGCAGTTTTACTGATAAATAAGTATAAGATACCTATAAATGTGAAATATACTTTAATTTCCCCAAGACATGCCGCTTTTGACCGTTACAGAACATTCCTTCTCTACATTTAAGAAAACAAACTGTGATACTTATACATTTTGCTGACAATATTATTTATTAGATAAAACTTCTGTAAACAAATAGTATTGTCTAACACTACTTATCTATCCTCTCAGTGGCGCTGCTGATAATTCAATGTTGATCTTCACTCTTACTGGTCTGCTGCTTTTCTGCTTTTGGCATTCCAGGTAATTTTATATTCCTTTATTTTCCTAACTGCTGCCCTTCTCCAGGTTTCCATAAGTTGTGTACATCTCATATTTTCATTAGCTGTCCAGAAAGCAATAGCAAACTACTGGACATAAATTTGCCTAGAAAAACCACAACAGCAAAAAAAATGCTGGGGTTGGTTCTGCAATGTCACGTAAAGGATATGTGACTAACCTAGCGCTCTTTAGTGACAGGGTTGCCGGGGTCAAGTATGAGTAACCTTATAAATTTCTACTTAGTGCTCTATAGCGACAGCGTTACAGATGTCAAGTATGAGTAACCTTATACATTTCTCTTATGGCTGAAGAGACGTAGATCAGTAACCTGGTCCCAATTCAGGACACACTTTTTTTAAAGCCAAACCCTGGCTATAGTTAGGGGTCCTAGAAAAACCTAATGGTTGAACGAGGTTTCTGGGACTTGTGCCCCGAGGGATTCTTATCCAAATAGTGGCACTTTGTGTCACCGGGTGTTTATCGCTCGTTGTGCGGTCCTGCTGGGGTTGAACTTCACTCACTTGAACAGACGCAAGCCAATAGATTCTCCACTACCTTCATGTTTACTGATTACTCCCCCTTCTAGGTTATGGAAAGATTTGTCAGGGACATTCATGATTTTAGCATTATTTTTTTAAGTGTTTCCATGTAGGGCAAAAAAAAGTTAAAACTTCAATGAAGGACAAGAGAAAAATTAAAGGAGTGAACTATATGAATACTGATCATGTAAAATAATTGATCTGACAAACCTTTTTTCTGGCTCCTTTTTAAGACAATCGTTGATCATCTTGCGGAAGATTTTACTGTATCCTTTGTACTGATCTTTCTCCTCAGCATTTGTATCAAGTGTTGGGGGGTCATTTTGCAGAGTTAACATCAAAACCTATGACAAATGTATTCATAAATAAAGCCATGATATTATTATGTGTAATTATCTCACAGAAACAAAATTTCAACCTTTTACACAACTGAAGCAATTAACCAATAAAATATGTGCATCATGAAAGAATCAGAACAAACAAGTTCTTTTGAAAAGGGTAAAAAGCTGGTAGAGCAATGTGACTTTCTTATCTTCCTACTTTCATACATGACATTCATGAGCACATTTCATAATTCTCCATATACCGGGGCTCAATTTAAGAGGTAAGCAGCTTGGGAATAGCCAGTTCTTGTGGTGTTTGGATAGTATCATGAGAGGTGCACCGTGGAAAAGACAGACCTCAAAACACAATATTCCCAATGATACCAGTGTATGCACAGGTATACTGCAGCCAATCTCCATTGTGCAGATAACACCCCAACCTCCATCACTTCTTTCATACATCTTTCATTCGATTAATCATTAACTAACAGAGAAAAAGAAAAACAAGAGGCGTTATTAAGGCATGGGAATTGTGCAAAAAATCTTCTTGGCGTTCACCAGCTGCAAAATCTGCCAGAAAGTTCTGGTTGTTTGTCCACTCCTGGACTTGAGTCGCCTTGCAAAACTTGAATTTTGCACACTGCTGGTTCCTCTTGCTCAAACAGGTGTATTCCGACTTCGGAAGAAAAATCCCTAATCAGTTGCTGTTAACAATATGCTTGTTTTGGAGGCAGTGGGCCTATTATTTTTCCTTCAAAATGGGGCTCAAGAACTCAGTTACAGAGTGGAAACATAAAACAAAATTAAAACAGACAATTATTAGGCATTTATGGTAAAGCAGTGGCCAATAGCCTTTTATGCCAGCCTGGCAGTCACAGATTTGAAACCCAATTGTAAATTTTTTTTTATTTGCCTGGACTTCCAGGCTGACTTCAGTTTAAAAACAGATACCATGAAACTTCCTGGGAAGTAAACAAATATAAAGTGATAATTACAATGTAATCTTTTGCATACGAATAGGTGTGTGTGTGTGTGTGTGTGTGAGTGTGTGTATATATATATATATATATATATATATATATATATATATATATATATATATATATACACACATACATACAAGACCTGATAATTAGGTAATGAGACTGATTTTATTATGGCTAAGACAAAAATGCCATCTATGAAACAAAGCATGGGATCCAAACAGGAATGTTTGGCCCCAAAACAAGTGTGTGTTCTCAACCATCCACCTAATGTGTGTGTGTGTATGTGTGTGTGTGTATAATCTGAATTTAAAAAATAAAAAGGTTATCAACACATGCCAAATATTTTAGCAGGTGGGAAAATGGTAATTACAATAAGAGACCACACATTGGTAAGGCATCAGCAGCTTCTAAAAGCTTAAACAAAATGTGGAACTCTAAATTACACAGTTTTAGAACCAAGTTAAGTATTTTCAATTCCAATGTTATTTCAGATTTAACATTTGCCAGTGAAAGTTGGAGGGCCACTAAAGATTTGGAATGAAAAATTAAATGGATTAAAAAAAGAAATGCCTGAGAAACATGATGAACATAGAAGAGCAAAGTGGGAAACTTTTGTGAATGACATGGGAGGCGATAAAACATTGGGTAAATTCTGGAAACTGCAAAGGCAGATGCAAAGAAAAGATCGGCGTATTACAGTGGGAACAATATTTAGTGACGATGGTGTGCGTATAACAAGGAGAAAGGGGAGGCTTTTCTGATGCAGTTAGAGAGGAATTAGCTGGCACCATAAGGAATATGCATTATGATGACATGATACGAGAAGATATCAACAAAAAATTGGAAAAAGGCCAAAGACACTGCACCAGGGCCTGATGGGGTCAGGTATGGTCACATGAAGGCTTTAAGCGATGTAGACCTGGCTGAGAAGGCCAACTGTTTTAACCAGAGCATTTAAACAGCATCAGTACTGCAGGACTGGGTGCACAGCTTTCTAATCCCCCTACCAAAACATTTTATGGATCATTCAAAGCTCAGTGGCTTTAGAATCATCACCTTTCAAAACACATTTGTAAAGCTGAAAGAATTTTTGGAAAGGGGGAAGCTTCTCCCAAGAGATATGGGAAGCTACAGGCCAGAAAAGGACACATGGGCAAATGCAGCCACATTTGCTTTTTACGTCTATAAAGGGTTCAAGAACAGAAGGGAAACTATGGCAGTAGCACTGGATCTCGATCATACTTATAACAGAGTAAGATACGACATCATGATGACTGCACTGAAAGAGAAGGAAGTCAGTCCATGGCTGGTGAATTGGGTCGCAGCTGTCCTGTATTCATGTCAGGTTGCTCTCGGACTAGGCTCATGGACCTCAGAGCCATGCAGTTTGGCCACAGGGATCTGCCATCTCGCCTGTGCTCTTTAACGTGTATACAAGCAAGATTGCAAACCTAGAAGCAGAGGATTTAATCATTTACAGACGGTTCAGTGTCAAGAGGCAAGAGAAGTGCTTGGAGTTTCTTAGCAAAAGTTAATAGTCGACGTTTGATGCAGGAAAGCCTAACATATGATACCATAACATCCAGCTTAAGAATAGAAGTGGAGGCGGTCACTGCAGCTTTCCGCTGGCTAGAGAACACGACACACACATCGTGATTGTAACTGATTCTGAAAGCATGCTGAGGAAGATCAGGACAGGTATGCTTTGTGCAGAGTGGCATGCCTCTCTGCGCGGACACAGGTGAGGAGTATTGTCTTGATTTTTTTTTACCGGGATACCCCGGTGTGTTGGTAAATGAACAGGTGGACAGACTGGTTGGCTCTGCACAACTTGGTGGAATATTGATGCCTGATAAGGCAGACCTGGTTAGTGCCTTGTGGCAAAGCGTGTAGTTAGGAGGAGCAGATGGATCACCAGTCTGGTGAGCTTGATGCAGGGGGGAGTGACAAGAGGTTGTGGCAGATACGCGAGGCTCAGAGGAAAGGCAAGACGCAGACATTTAATCAGAATGCTACTGGCACTATTAGTATCGGAACTCTTCGCTGGCTGCTGAAGATGGGTCAGGATGCTGTGATGTCAGTTCTTGAATCAAATCATACAGAATGAGATAAATTCAAGAGGTGTGAAGAAATAAGAGAACTGACTGGGTAACCATCAGTGTCAACAGTTATAAGAAATAGAAGATGGCGCTAAATCTTGAGAAGCGAAAACTGAATCATCAAACAGTGACAAAAATGGGAAATACAGTGGAAACGAGGAATACAGGGAACGAGGACGTCCAAAAGAAACCCTAAGGCAAATGATGATGAGAGGAGCCAAAGATGCTGGACTGGATTCCATCCATGATACTGAAGTAATTGCACAGAATAGTAGGGAACAGAGAAATAGACTGCAAGTCCTATGTGACATATAATGGCACAAGAGGGCAATGAATGAATTATAACAAGGCTAAGGAAAATCAAAGGATGCTATCTTTTATATGACATAAAATGTTCATGTGACACTGAGGATATCATGAACAGCAGACAGTTTTTTTTTAAACACCAATCAGCACCTGATAGGTAACATATACCCGCTCTAATTAAACACTAGCTCTATCAAAACCTTGTCTCACCTTCATTGGTGGAAACTTGTGGTAGGGTGCTGTCCCTGTTGCCAACTCAATGGCTGTAATTCCAAAGCTCCAAATATCAGCCTTGAAGTCATAACCAGTTACCTTAAACAAACAAAGTCATTTATTATTGACTTATTTTTTTTTCATTTCCCCGTTGTGTCCCAGAGCATTTGGTTAGAAAGGGCTTCCTTGACAAAGCCTCTGTATGGTGCGTACAAGGTCTTGTTGTTACTGCATCTGATATTTAATAAAAAGGCTAATAGTAACCAACATCACATTTACCACAATGATAATATACAAAAATAGCTGCCTTTCAAATTTATAAGCTTATTTAATGTGTGGTGTCACAGGCACACAGCTAGTGAAATAAACCAACTCCATGATAACATGCTACGTAATAAAGCTGTGCTGAACAAGTCAGTAAGACAAGATACTGCTCTACTGTAGATATATCAAATCAGTCTTAGCTACTAGTTGGTTACTAACTATACCTGTCAACCTAAAACTCTTTTAGACAAACTAAAATAGTGGCTATCAAGCCTAGCCACTCCAACGACAAAGAGTCAGTAAATCTCTTGACAACTCCCTTATCTATCTCTTGGGCTCTATTCATCCAGGGGATTTAACATCCAACAGTGTGTAATCTAATATTTATGAGTTACTGCCCCTGCCTTTAACAGCTTTTTTCTGGCTAGTTTTTGTTTCCAGTTACATATGCATCAGAAATTTAGCTGGCTAGATGATATGTGATTTCTCTCTGACACACTTTAGTTAAGTAATTTTGTGTTTAATTCATGTAATGTGCTAATGAGGCTTTCTAGCTACAACGTTCACTTGACATTTGTGTTGTGACAATGTGAAGTTTAATGGTTATACTATTTTTTTGGTTTGATATCTTTCCATGATATGATAATGTCTTTGAGCTGCAATAAAAAAACTTCCCCTGGTTACACCCAGGTGCCTCATTCTCTCCAGGCCATAATAATAATCTTCCTCTATTGATTCCGTTGCTTGTTCCCAAAAGGCCTTGACTACATCTGCCTTATCATGTATCAATTCACCACCCAGTGGTACAGATCCAGCCAATATGTCTGCCTGTTCATTACCCACTATACCGACATTGCCTGGAGAAAAGACCCAAAGTATGCTTACTACCTGTGACCTTCCCAGGTACAGTTAGGGGGAAAAACAGTAATGTGCAAACAAATAAGCAAATATTAAATATAATACCTATACATTTCCTTCTGATACAAAATTATCAGTAATATTAAATACAATGTGAATATGTGTGAGCCCATGTCTGTTTGTGATTTTTTTAAACACATCTTACTAATACAACAAAATACGAACAAAATGTATGTTTTAACTAGCAAGATTCGTGTTAGGTATTCTCAAGATGCTGGCAGTGTTACCCTAAATATTTCAACACGATTCTCACCTGCTCCATGACCTCTGGCGCCATCCAGCAAGGGGTTCCCACAAAGGTATGTCTGACAGATTCTCTGGTCAAATCTTTCCCTGTAGCCAGCCAGGCACTTACTCCAAAATCTGTAAATAAGCAAAATATTCAACTGAAGACTGCATGTGCTCTGAATCTATTCTCTTCACACACAGTTTTATGTTTATTGTGGTTCTGTGGCTTAGGTTAGTGAACGCACTGAACAATTTCACGACTTTTGAGCACTAGGGTTCAAATTCCACAGTGGGGAGTTTATTTAAGAAACAAACTGTTCTTGCAGTCTTCAGACAGTAGCATGGGAGTCCCGATGTAGAAATGTAGAAGAGATCAATGCTCCAGCATGTAATATTCCTAAAGACAGCAGTGACTGAACTGTAGTCAACAGTAGAGATAGCACTGCATTTTTAAAAATTTAAAAAATGATTATTTTTTACATCTTATACCATTATTGCAGGAAAATTATATTTTTTTTTACACAAAGGAAAGAAATCACTAAATATAAACAGAGCAGAGAAAAATTGCATTTTTAGATATTTGAAAAATGGTTAATTAAAAAAATATATTTTTTATTATTATTGCGCAAAGGTGATTTCTGTGTGTGTTTTTGTTTTGTTTTTAACATCAAGGAAAGTAATCACTAAATGTAAACAGAGCAAAGAATAACTAACTGCTTTCCTTTCCTCTGACCATGAAAACATTTGACAGCCATGTGGTGAAAAATTATGTTACTATGAGGTTATAATGACCTCACGGTTACATCACAATGACAAATAATATTTCAAATTGTCTTTTTTTTCCTTCTCAATTATAACCACCACGTCTACACATTATGGGTTGTAATCAGTACCAAAGCTGTTGTGCAGCAGTGGCCACCGACCAGAAATTTCATCATCAAAAATTTGTAAAAGTAGGAAAACTGACTCACTCTGGGTGACATGGTTACATCGACCCTGACTATTTTTTCTTGCTGGATTGAAGCTAAGCTGGATGGTGGATGAGATAAGCTTTAACCTATCCAAACGAAGTTTGCTGATAAAAAAAAACCACATGAACCTTTCTCTATAGAATATGTGCTACTAATAACCTATATGGTGTAACTCATCGTAATACAGTAGCTGTCAGTGTTTTAGGCTGATAGAGTTGGCTAGTTTAGCAGAACTTATCGGCTAGTGGGCTGCTAGCATAGCTGCTCGGCATTTAAGGTAAAAGAGGTGGCTTGCATTTACTTCACAGAAGTTGTCCACAGGTGTTTTTATATACTAATAATTTTAAAATTTGCATATTATTTATAATGAACCAAGAATTGACTTATTAATCCATTCATTACACACACGCATATATATAGCCTTGAGTTCAGCCTCCAAGTGCTTCTGGGCCTGCTTCTTACTCGCTGTCCTTGTGGTGTCCATTGCATTGCCTGTCTCGGCCAGCTCTCTTTCTTCATTCTGAGGACGTGTCCAATCCACCCCCATCTTAGTTTTTTTTTTGGGGGGGTTTTACATTTTCATCTTCTAAGTCTGTCATTTGTTGTAATTTAGAATTGCTGATTTTATCCTTCCATGTGAACCCTAACAATCTATGGAGAAGTCTTCCCTCAAAACTTCTAAGCATACTCTCTGTCTCTGTATATATAATAAGCAATTATTATATTTATTTGTAACATTTAGGCATATTATTACATACATACAAATAAATACATACCAGCAACAAACACAGAACCGTCATCTCCAATAAGAATGTTGCCAGCCTTAATGTCTCTGAAACAACAGAAAGATTAACAATTTATAACTTAAGAGAAAAGGACAGGTTCCTCTGTATTTTACTGTCTTTAACTTAACAACATATAACTAAAAGTCAATTTCTCTCACAACTTTCAATTTATCTTAATATCTAGAATAAACTTTCATTACAATCTGCAATCTGTCTCTATGTTATAAATTTTAACTTACCTGTGTATCTGCCCACTTGCATGAAAGTACTCGAGCCCTTTAAGGACTTCTTTCATTACCGTAGCTATGCAAGCTTCGTCTAACACTCCGTTTTTACCATATCCGGCACGCATACGCATTTTGATGATGTCCAGCATTGAACCTAAAATTACAGAATAAATGTGTTCTGGTGTTGTCAAACAGATGACACTAATATTAATTTGTGGCCACACAACATTAAATTCTTACTCAACTCTCTCCCAGTCTTCTTTGTTCACCTGCTGTAGGCGCTGGTAGAAAGTCCTGGTTGTACTTTGTGCCAGGGCCTAGAGTTTTCCTAGTGTATCCATTTAACTGGCTTACTCGTGTGCAGTTGTTTATTCTTTGCTGCTCGGGTAGCTGCACTCCGACTTCGAAGGAAACTCTCCCAGTAACAAGCAGGTACTACCTTAAAGTATTTCTACAGGTATTCTAAGAAGTTCTTACTTTAAGTAACCAATGATTGGTTCTGAGGAGTTAACATTACCAGACATGAATGGGACATGTTGAGTTAAGTAAGACAGGTGTCAGGGAGTAAAAGCATATCATGTCATTTGAAACTAACAAATACATGGTGAGCTGTCAGGTACAGAAAGAAATCAGAACCTAGTCTCATAAAACTAGGAAATTGTATGTATCATTTGTAGTCTTCATATCTAAAACTAGTGCCACTGTACTACAAATATAAATACTGAAGTATTTAGTCCTCCTCCTCAGATATATAAGTGTATTACACTAAAACATCATTAATACAAGACGGAAACATTGAGAGTTTATGTTAAAGGAAAATATTTGCTAATTCAGTCAGTCAGTTGCATGTCCTTTGCAGAACCTTGCTCCATAACAACCCTTCAGAAAAACCTCTCGATAACCAGCAATTTCTAATTAGCGACTAATAATAACAATGCATCCTTGCAAAGAGAAAAAACTTTTGCGTTCTTGTAGTGAGTCATTTTCTCCTCATTAATTTATGCCCGATAGATGACGTCAGTAATAGATGTAAGACGAATGTTTTGACTGGCTGAGATTACACGAGATTTATGTCTTGAGTTTCATGAGACATCTGAAAGTCAGGTTTTATGTGAAACATGATTGTTCACAGGATTTGTGTGAAATGTGAATTATCACGGGCCAGACACGACTTTCAACAGTGGGAAATTCGTGAGAATGAATCCAGAATATTCTAGAACAGGATAGATCAGAGGGCTATATAATAGCGAAGAAAAGGTTTGTGAGCAGTCTCGTTTTGGACCTAGGAACAGTGTGCATGGACAGCGGTGGATGATGTGTAGATTCAGCAGATGTTTTTGTGAGTGGCCAGTAATATGTCTGCGGGTCGTCTGAGTTTGTCTGTCAGGACAGCTGCTGTGTTTCGTTCAAGATGTTAGTGTGATTGTGATTTCTGCTTGAAGGTAATATTTGACACTTGCATTATAATGTGTGCCTGGACAGTTGTCAAGTTCATGTGCCGGCTGTGTAAGCCGCGAGTGGAAGATTAAAGTACTGGAACAGTATCGTGTGTTTTTTCCAGTCGTCCATTTTTTCTGCTCGTCGTGTGATGTCGGTTTTGTGAGTTGGCAGCGAGCGTGCGATGAGGCGAGCCAGTAGAAGATAAAAGAGAATCACCGCAATTCTTATTAAACATGTTCATGTTAACAAGGTTCAACTGCTTGAAAGTACTAATTAACTGTTTTAGTGTATTGTATATTATTTTCCTATTTCCACTCTAAGCTGTCTGTTCTCCATCTTTAGCTAATCTATCAACATATGCTCTCTTATCTCCTCTTGCATAACTTTTCATTTGTTTGTCTCTCTTGTTGTAGTCTTCTCTAGCCATGACTGCTTGTTCCACTGTTTTAGCATTGCATATAGCAAGATCTTATAGCATACACCACAGCAATATCATCACATTCTGTTCTCTTCCTTGAAATGATTAAAAAGAACTATGAGAAGAGTAAATGTGTAATAAAAGTCAATGGTGTTATTTTGGACAAGTACAGAAATTTAAGTATCTGGGAACATGGACAACATCAGATGGAAGATGCATTACCAAAATAAGAAACAGAATAGGACAGGCAAAAACTGCATTTTTGTTAAATGAAGAACATCTTATGCAATATATCTTTGTCACTGAAGGTTAGAGAAAGAATTCTTGCTTGCTACATACATCCAGTTTTAACAAATGGCTGTGAGTTTGGACAATCGGTAGGCAGGCCAAACAATTTCTTGAGGCCTCAGAGATGTGGTTTTACAGAAGAATGCTTAAAATACTTTGGACAGCCAAAAAGAGCAACCAAGAGGTTTTGAAAGAGGTGGGAGCCCGAAGACAACTTATCACAGACATCAGAAGGAGACAGTCATCATTTTTCGGCCATGTTATGACCACAGGAAAGATCTGTGGAAGGAGGGACATAGGAAGACAACGAGAGAAGATTTTTGACAGTCTTGCTGAATGGCATGGAGGTGAGTCAGCACACAAACTGATACATGTTGCAGGAGATCGCAGATTGTGGAGAGGCATGATTGCCCATGCCAGTTGGCAAGACACATGATGATGATGATGAGAAGAGTAAAGGATAAATGTAATGTAAGTAAACTAACATCAGGAAACAATTAGTGTTTGGTGAGGCAATTAAAAAAAATAATAAACTTCTGACTTACCTCCTCCGCAAAGCTTCATGACAACCCACAATTCCTCTTTGACAACAAAAGATGTATAGTAGCAGACAACATTCTCATGTTTACACTGACTCATGGCACGAATCTCTTTCTGCAGGAAAATGAACACACTAAATTTTAGGGTTGTTAACATTTTCTAGCTGTTGCTGGAACTCAAAACACTTTTCAGGGTCTTTAGAGAAATATTTAATCGAGGGATAGATATGTGTGTTGATGTGTTATTGCAATAAATCAAAAGGACATCGTCACAATCTACAAAGCGAGAATGAACATTTATTGATATGTCCTGAATACTGTGACAGTGTTTCTGTTAACCAGTAACCCATGTTGAATTAGGAATCAATATCACAGGACTTGGAACACTCCCATATGTGCTCCTTCCCTCATCTTCAGCAGCAAGTGAAGAGTTTCAATTCTGTTGGCACCAGTAACTGTCTGTTTGTATACTTGTTTTACTCTTCCCTTGTGTGTTGAATGTCAGCCAGATCCCCTGGTAAGTTCCTGCAATACCATTCTCCTCAGACTGTATTGATCTATTTGTGCCTTTAGACTGTTCACTCGCTCCCAAAGGGCCTTAACAACGTTTAGCTTGTCATACATCAGTTCACCACCAAGTGGTGCAGAACCGGCCAGTCTGTCTGTTCACTACCCAACACATTGGTATTACCTGGAAAAAATATCAAAAGAACATTAACTACCCAAGACCTCTGAAGCGATGCCTGCCACTTTACATGAAGCAAGCCTGTCTCCACTTTCTCAACATGCTCTGTGAGTCAGTTACAATTACAGCATGTGTGTACATTTTATTCTCAAGCTAGCAGAAGGCAGCAGTGAAAGCCTCCACCTCCATTCTCAAACTAAACATAGTGATATCATATGCTAGACTTTGTTGCACTAAACGACATCCATCTGCCTTTGCTATGAACTCCTATGCCCTTTATCTGCTCCTCAATACGGAGCAATGTGTACAATCATCACCTGGACATGAACTGTCAGGAATCATTTGTTGGATCTCTGAATCTGCAAGCACAAGCTGGCTAGTCCCTGCACACACAACCTAAGCACTATACAAGTCTGAAACTTGCTCGGACACTTTGACCTACTCTTCTTCTCGCCAAAATTTATCAAGCCTGCAAACACCTGTAATTGTGTCTTCAGTTTGCGCCATCCAAGACCCTCTTTTCAGTCTGTGACCCTTGGTCTTCGTGTATGAGGTACTTCTTGTCTCCAGCTACCCTGAGGTATGAACTTGTTTGCAGAACTTTGAACCTATCTGCAATAGTAGGCAGTGCAAGTATATATTGGATACATACTGGGGTTTCTCTTGTACATCTCAGAATTACCCGCACTGCTTCCTTCTGCATGCGTTCAAGTTTCACCAGCTAACTCTTTGATATGGTAAGCATTTCAAGACCATAGTTTATCACCGTCAGGATCACATGCTGGAACACTTGTTTCATGTCCATTTTTGCCATAATCTCTTGAATTTGTCCTTTTTGGAAGTTTACCGCAGCTGCCTCCACAGATCCCTGAAGGACAAGATTTTATCAAAAGTGATAACCAGGTACCTCAGTTTGCTTTCTCTGTTGACATTTCTGTCATTAACTGTAAGGCCTGAACATTAGCTCCTATGGTTCTATTGTCCAGAGCACCATAAAACAGCCACATTTTTCTACAAAAAGGCTTCTCTCATACTAGGTGCATACTACAGTAACAATTACATATATAAAGCAAATAAGTACAATAATAAATAAGGTACAAGTACTCATAGGGCTACACCAAGCTCTCAAGGGAGAACAGCTGGTATGCTTCACTGCACGAGAGATTGGACAGCTACAGCGCTGGATCTCTCTAACCCTTGTGTATTACGGTGCGAAAGAATCATGGGTGGCCATACTGGCATATAGTTTGTTCATTTTGCTAAGAACAATGACGTATACGGGTTGCAAAAAACATTGAACAGTTAATAATTACAGTATTAACAAGCACATCAACTTCCTTGTGGCATCTATTGGTGGAACATGTTAGCATCTGTCTGAACTGGTAAATGGTTTGTATAAAATGTTGAAAACTGACACAGTACATGGTCTTCTAGTCATTAAATAATCAGGGTAACTAGCGCGGCCATACCGCAAGCGGAAGCTCAGGCGCTAACCCTTTTTACTTAATAATTACCGTCATGACAGAAGTATTCCATTTCAGTTCAGTTATTATTCTTTCTAAATGAACAGAAATAGCTTTAAAAAATAAATTGATATACTAGTGTACTCCTGTAAATAACATCCAGAATTATTATTCTAGGCATTAAGGGCAATGTTAACCAATTTTACTGCTTCCCATCAAACAGGGCTGTAACAGCTGCTGCCAAGCAACAAACGTCCTATCAGCTATGCCAATGTCATTTAAATCTTTATCTAGTTTTATTATGATACTTTTTCATGTTTTACTTGTTTTCTTCTTCCTCCTCTTTCCTGATATTTTGTTTCTCTGTTCTTTATTTCTCTACTATTATTATTACTATTTACTTTTTTAATTTCTTTGCTTATTTCGTCTTTGCCTAGTTCTATACCATATCTAGTTGGGAACCACAGTAGCACTGTGACTAGATGGTTGCCTGCAGGAGTTTGAATCCACACCGAGAGGATTTTGTTCTAATAACTGACCTTGGTTCCCAGTAATATAAAACTTTACAGGGTAGCATGCACAGCAGGGGTCTACCAATCATCAGTAGAAAGGTCCTTTGTCGACAATTGTTTCGGGCTATTAACTTCGGAAGGTGGGCCAACCTGGTTCATGACGCCAGGCCTCGGACATACCCTGCTGCACTTTATCTGACGTTCAGACAGGGACAAGACAAAATGGTGACTTTGCAACAGGTATTGTAAGATTTGGTGTTATATACTGTCACCGTGGTAGCAAATTAGCCGACTACCTTCACGACCAGCGTAACAAGCTTGCGGTTGGTTCATCAGACAAACGTTAGACTTTGGCAACTGGCAGACATTTATCGGGCATGCTGGCTTTTAAGGGATGCAAAGCTTTTTTCCACTAGGAACTCAGAGATACCGAGGCCCATCCGCCGCGGCGTTCCGTTGTGTCCACAGCCAGCTTGAAGCTCTTTCTGCAGCTTCGTCCTCTTGCGCCTACCTCGACATTGAAGATTTTTACTGTGTACACCTTATCTCTCTTCAGACCCGCCACCAGATCATCATACTTTTCGAGTTTGTACAGGTGCTTTTCTTCCATCCATGACTCGGCCTAAAAGTTGAACCAGCCTAAAATATGTACCAGGAAGTGTCCTGGAAGAAAAGGCGTCCAGCATGATCTTGACAACACCACCCAGAGAGCAAGACTGGTCTATATAAACCAGGAATTTATCATCTTATGGCCAGCAATCTTCTTTCATAACATTGGCAACTGGCACCTAGGTATGGAAACTTTTACATTCACCACTAATGAGGGCTTAAGTTATCAATTCTTGATTCATTCACATTTAATTATCTGTCCATTATCCCTGTGTGGGATTCACTGCCTCCAACAAGCATGTTATGACAATTAATTAGGTATTTCCCGAAACAGAATTCGTTGGGTCAAAATGTGTGAATATTGCAGCTTAGCTGCCAGTTGTCCTGTTAAGGTTGAAAGAAGAATATCTCTCCAGAGAATCTTTAACATATCTGCAATTTAGAAGCTAACCCCGCCCAAATGAAATTAGGGTATGCAACTAAGAAAAGCTGCGTGTGTATATGAGCAAAAGAGAGCAAGTACTATACATTTTGCTATGTAAAAGATGACCCCTATTTTTTTAGCCCACAAATAGGAAATAAATATGTTAAACACATTCCATAAATAGGATGGCCTCAAATTTGAACAACAAATTTAGGAAACAGTTTTATACATAGCAAAATATGGTATATAAGATTAAAGGTTGAATTTGTCTGCACTGGTTTAAAAAACAACATACACACATTAAAAAAAAGTATAAACAACAAACCAATAGTTCTTCCACTGTGGTGTTGCATTTCTCTAAGTTGATACGTTTGATAGCACACTTCTCATTTCGTGGCTTGCATATAGCAGCTTGTACTGCTGCTGTTGCTCCCGCACCTGAAATAGATATTTGAGAAGATTTAGCAAGTTTAAACAAAAATAAAAGGTAAATACAAAATAATAATTCACCTGAAATAGATATTTGAGAACATTTAGCAAGTTTAAACAAAAATAAAAGGTAAATAATTGCGACTAATGGGTGTCAATAATATATAAATGAATGAACAAAAATGTAAACAACTGGTGTTCACTTAAATATTAGTTACAACCATACTTTATGCACCTTTCTCTGCAAGTTTCGTGAGTCTGCTATTCAACTAACTAACTTAAAGACAGTCTTCAACTGTAAAACAATTTTGACTACATATCCAGAAAGCAGGTGTGTGACTTCCTAATGTCACATGTGTATTTTATTTTAAGTTTCATAGCAGTAGGTGACATTTGGGTTGTGGAATGTTAGACCATCAAGTCTTCTTCTTCTGCATTCCTACAAAGATGTAACTGGTCAATTATTCTATTTCATAAATTTAAATAAAGAGACAGTTCCACAGAAGTAAGTGCCACTTGGGTTGTTGAATGTTAGGTCGTCAATTATTCTGTTTCATAACTTTTAAAAAAAGTCTCTGCCAGAAAATTCACAGAAAAAATAAATCTGAAAATGGCTTATCTGTATGAGGCTGGCAACAGGTATTAAGGTAACTGCAGTTCCAGTTTTACAGCAAATGGGTCACTCCATTCTCGTGGTAGGGAAAACCCACACAGAAAGCCCATCACTTTCCCTCATGAAAACAATTGAGAGAGACGGCAGTCTCAGCAAAGCCAGTAGCATACACATACATTAAACGTACAAGGCAGTTATCAGAAGTGCTAATACAAATGCCCCAGTACTAGAACTGCAGTTCATCATTAGTTGTTTTCTCCATGTTATGCTGGTGTGTTGGGAAATGAGCAGGCAGACAGACTGGCTGGCTCTGCACCACTTGGTGGTAAAGTGAAGTATGACAAGTTAGATATTGTGAGGGCCCTCTGGGAGCGAGTGAACAGTGCAGAGGCGCAAAAAGAACATTATGGTCTAAGGAGAATGGCGCTGCGAGGAGTTATCAGGGAGTCTGGCCGACGCTCAACACTCAGGGGAAGGATGAGACTGATATACAATCAGACGGCTACTGGTACCATTAGAATTGGAACTCTTCACTTGCTGCTGAAGATGGGGACTGAGCACTTATGGGGGTGTCCCGAGTGCTGTGATGTCGATTCTTAATTCAACATTCATCATTGGTGTAAGCAGCAGTTACAACAAATCAGTAGCTGCTTGTGCAAATTAATCACATAAGGCAACATTGGTATTGTGGCGACAGGCCATTTGCTATTTTATGAATATGCAATGCATTCCAAATGAAATCTGTAGCTCAGTGTCAAGCAATACACTCAATTCAGTAGCTGGACAAAAGAACTATAGATTTTCAGTTCACATTTGGGAGAAATGTGATGGCTAACCTTAACCAGAAGTAAATAGCTTGTCAAGACTAAAAAACAGTAAGTCAGCCTATCACCATATTGCATCAAAAATCTGGAGGCATGCCAAAGATGTACTGATCAAAGAAAACCTATTATTGTCTATTTGGATTTGAACCTGGGTCACTGCCTTGGTAGGCAAACACACTAACCACTATTCGGCTTTCCTGTCAACTACGGCCGGTAGACAACAGTAAACAGCCGGTTAGTAAGAGTTCTGTCCCCTGGCTGCAGTGCAATTACGGACTGGAGACGGCACGAATCAAACAACAAAGTGAGGTCGACATGATGACAGCGGGTCCCTAAATGCTGTCTATCGCCAACACACAGTAATTATGTCATTTGATTCTTGCCTTCTCCAGTCCGTAACTGCACTGCAGCCAAGGGACAGAACTCAGACATACTGGTCGTCAAATGTTGTCTACCGGCCGTAGTTTACAGGAGAGCCCAATATTCTGTTACTGCTACACAATTATAGATTTAAATGAATCTGTTCTTTACAGTGTTTATCAGCAACACTGATAAGGCATAGCATTTTAAGAAACAATAAAATACTAGGGGACACACTCATTGAATAATTTATTGTAGTCTGCTAAGACATCGCTACTTCAAGAGAACATATATCTAGTCCAAAAACAGACCAAAATACTACCATGTAGAAGAGTGAAGTAAAACATCCAAAGCACCTGACACAACACTTTCTCGTTCACTAGAAGAAGCCAAGAATGAACAGTTATAACTCTAGAATAAGCTAGGATTAAATCAAATTCATCAAAGAAATGTTTTTAGAATAAGTAGAAGTGTATCTCAGTATAAATGTTCTAACTTCACATTTTGTCATCAGCATCATCAACTTTTACCATTAAACACCATGGGGAGAAACAGTTTTCAGTCCAGCACTCAATGGATAGCACTGGCTATTGTCATTCCGACTTTAATGTAATGTCATCAATCTATATTCTCCTTACGTGCCCTCATGATCTCAGATGTTGCATTCTATAAAATAACCCTACATGTACAGAGGAGATATTACCATGTAACATGAATAAAGACCCTTAACACACAATTTGACATTTTGGGGATACAGGACCAGGCTCATTTTTGCCAAGAATTTGGAGTTAAAAATCTACCTAAAGTATTTCAGGAATCCTTGCCGGTGCTACGGAGTCCGCGCACTGCAGTGATATTCTTCGGACTCAGGCTTGAGTCAGAAGAACAGAGCACTTACAGATTACTGCCCTTGTACCATGATGTTGATTCGTCGTTTAAGCCTAAACCTGCCAAGAATTTATAATTAACCTCATCCACCACACAGCTACAAGGAAACCAAAACAGCACTAAAGCAGTCTTTCAAGCGGGAGTGGAGAAAGCAGAATAGAGATTACAGACCAGAGAGTGACAGCATAAACAAACTCAACAGGAAAGAACAAACATCAATTCTTAGACTTCAGACTGGACACTGTGGTCTTTGAGCACACCTGTACATAAAAGAATCTGCTGCCTGTGATTGTGGAGCAGAAAGACAGACTACTGAGCACATACTGCAGTACTGCCTTAGCTCTCCCAGCAAAGACTGTGGATCTGGCCCAGGGGATCCACATTGCGAGAGAAGCTATGGAGGACCGGTGGCGACCTTAAACGCACAATCCTATTTTTGACCCAGACGGGACTCAATGTGTAGCATGACTGATGTCGAACGCAGAAGAAGAATTACTACACCCCTGAAGTAACATGGTCAAAATAACTGATTAACAATTAAATTCACCCTTTATGACGAAATAGCTCAAAACAAATAATGACCCCACCTAAAGTAGAATTCTGAAGGGGGAACAACAGATGTTCACTAAAGGGAAGAGAATGAAACATGTTAAAAACAGGGAGGAACCAAGATAAAAATTGTAATTTAAAAAAAAAAAGGCCTTTTTAGGCACCATGACAATACTCAATACTAACTAATGTTGTAATAATAGACAACAGACACAAATTGTTGTGAGTGCTCCTTTTTTGTTTTTTCCTAGAAAAAAAGTCCTGATCCCAATGCTATGTATTCTAGTATCTGTGACATTACTGATGACTATTCCTTTATTACACTGGTTACCAAAATGCATCTGTACTTGTCTGTACTATGTTTGTTATATATTAATTTGTATTGCTATAAGTAGCATAAGCATAAAGCAACAATTAGTAACTTGTGGCAATTATGTCTTTATTTTGAATATACAGACTATATACCTGTGTGACCGAAGACTTAAGGGAATCAAAAATGAGATGTCAGAACGTAATCTGTAGATGTTAGTACTGATAACTCAGTAACTTTACAGTACTGTGAGTAATATAATATAAAGAACTGTACTGTTCTTTCAGCCTTCTTCAGCAACTCGACCAGTTCAAATCACCAACAATGTTAATTGGTAACCATTAACAGATTATTTATTATTCTATTTATATAAATATGTATATTAAGTATTAAGCTACTTTGATTTTTGCTTTCGAAAGTTCATGACAATTGACATGTTTTGCCAAAAGTAAGACTTGATTGATAAAAGAAACACCGTTACATTAGATAGAAAGATGTCCAGTTAGCAGACGTTGAACAAGCAACCAGTTTTCGCTGACAGCGTGTAAAATAAAAAATTAAGTGACAAGTCACAAAACAGCTCAGAGGAAGACGAAGGTTCGCCTGAAAATATATATACTTATATACCACTCACCTATAACGCCCAAAAGCTCATAATCATCCTTTTGGTTGGGCCAAGCAGTAGCTCCTTCAGCCACAGCTGCCATTCTAGAAGGCAGGGGTTGGGTCAATTATCCGCAGAAAGACAAGTTTTCACAGGGAGAACATGGAACCAACAGCAACACTACGCGCACTAGGTGGTGGTTGTCTGTCTGTGCTGTATGGACCGAACATAAACACACGACAAGCACGGTTAATTAAGTGAATTTTTATTTCCCAGTCAAAAACAGAACTATGTGGTCGTCTGTGATATGCAGACTGAACATGAATAGACGACAAGCACAATTAAGTCGGCTTTTCTTTCCCAGCCAACAGCAGCACCGGGTGGTTGTCTATGCTGGGGACTAAACATGAACACACGACGACCAGCACACCGACTTACTCTTCCCGAGCTACCTGCTTTCAGTGTGCCAGGAACTTACCAGCGTGCACAGCTGAATCTTTATTTCTTCTCTCCTCCGTGATATCGGCCTGATAAAGATTGACATTCACGCGAATGGGGCGTAAAATAAAAACAGTCGAATATAGAGGTTCTGGGGAGAATACAAATGAAAATGGAGTTGTTGGAGGGAATAAAAAGAAGCAAATTAACAATTTAGGCTATATTCAGCACCATCAATCAGTAGGACCTTTACAGAACGACACTCTCATTCACGGTGCGCCCAACAAGTCTTTTTTTTTAAAGGCTATTTCATTTAACGTAATATTCACTTAAAAGCCATACTGGGTGGAAAAGTTGAAGACAGGTGATCAAGAAGCATACACCAATACAAATGGGTGGATAATATTAAAATATAAATGAACAGCAGTTTGAGAAAAATATCCAGGGCGAAAGACATGGTGTGTTAGGTATAAATTACATCCAAGCTTCGTTGTGGAAATGGCACTTGAACAATTAAAAGATTAGACTAGACATTTAGTTATTTTTAGGGGGCATGGGTCACCTAAACTCACAAGCTCAGTGACTGAAAGAGACAAATAGAAGGGAAAGGTTTTGTACCTCAGAAACAGTGTAATAAATTAACGTGCATTTATTTGCACTAGGACGCGGAGGCTCGAATCCTGGCATGGTAACTATGACTTTGAGTTATGTGCTATTTAGTATGCAGAACTAGACTTCTGAGAAATAATGCTATCTAGTGTGAGTGATTGAATAACTGAGTGCGATTAAATTCTATCAGGACCCCACAGCCAGCGAACACCCGCTGACACAAAATCACCCGACATTTGTTTAACACACAGTAACTTGAAAAGTCACTATTCCATTCTTAATCCAAAAGGAGTAAACACTATAAATCCCCTTCAGCCATAATAGATTATATTATGTTTAAGCAATCTACTGTTAGAAGAAGGGGCTGCGTGGTCTCGGGGCATGGTGTCCGCATAGAGTGCTAGAGGTTCCGAGTTCAATCCCCGGTAAGGGCTGGGATTTTTTCACGTGGACTTGGACTTCTAGTAATTCCCACTGGTCTCTGGGTAGTGAGATCGGACGCCCGTGTGCATTGTCGCGCATGTAAAAAAATCCCTTGGTAGTTGGAAATCGAAACAAGTAGCCTAACGGCGCTGCTCAGACCAAATTTTGAGTTTAAAACCCACCCAAAGTATTTTAGGATCCTCGCCGGTGCTACAGAGCCTGTGCATTGTGTTGAGCTTCTTCGAACTCAAAGTTGAGTTAGAAGAAGAACGGAGTACTTATTGATTACACCCGTGTGCCATGATGTTGATCCGAAGTTCAAAACCCTGAAACTGTTAGAAAAAACCCGCTGTTCAATGTTGTAGGTGATTCAGCTTAATCTATTTGTATGCTACATTTTACAATGATTGACCAAATATTTTGTGCGACAAATGTAAGAATAGGCTGCGTAATAAAGATGTGTTGTCTTTAACTTCTCTGTGTACACTGGAAATGTCGCTAAAATAAATTAACAGGCGTGGTTTCGAGAAGCATATGTTGTAAATCGGCACAAGAATGGGCTGCGCTACATGCGGCCGAACTGGGTTATGTTGTTTTATTTCGTTCTGCTCTCTCTTCGTCAGCCCAGGTCATATTGACATTGTCACATGAAGGGAAGTGCCTGTGGCTAAATTCACTCCGCACTTTCCCCTGCTCCTCTCTTGCTCTCTCTCTCTCTCTCTCTCTCTCTCTCTCTCTCTCTCTCCTTTCCCTCACCCTCTCCTCCCTTCTTTACAATTTGCTTTGACGGCACTCAGGTATAGTGTGACACAAACTGAATTGTAAACAAAAACGAGTTAAGTGATTCATAGTAGCATGCATAGACAGGAAACCACTGACATTTTATAAGAGGAGCAATAAATAGATAATTTAAATCGCAGATTAGACTAAAACAGTAGATTTATAATGACAAGCACTTTTTGAAGAGAGGAATACTGTTCATCATTATAAATTTCCACTTTTGCTGTTAGGAGTTGTGGGAGGAACAGTTTGCGATCCATTGCTTGATAGGTAGCAATGGCTATCTTTATTCCGTGTTGATGTAAGAGCTCTTTAGTGTTATCAATCCATGTTCTCCTAGAGCAGCCGCTTGCTTTCACTTCAGATCTTTTTAAGTGTAATGTTCTGGCTGCATTCTTACTAAATGACCAAACCATTTTTCTTCTGTTTCTCCATTAATTTCCTT